TGCAATTGTCCCCTTATTCAGAAAGGCAGAGAAAGGAAAATGTTTGTTGGATACAAGCAAGGTAGGCTGGGGAGAGGTGGGACAAACATCTGAAAACCAAGTTAAGGCTATGAAGAGATGTTTGTGATGGCTTCTTGCTCTAGTAGAACAGCAGTAATGAGACATGAAGACATTTCATTTCCATTCCTTGCTCATGGATGGATGTTCAGAGGCAGAAGTTTATTGTTTGCTTAGAGGACAGTGAGAAAGGTCTTTGGAGCCCAGCAAACAGGCAAAAGCTTCTAGTGCTGGAGGGAAGTGCAGAAAGAAGGGTCTTTATGCTGCTGTAAGGAGGCCCTTGAGAAAAAGCTGTGGCTGACCAAGTCATTCTTTCTTTGTACCAAGTTGTTCACCTGATTCTCAGTAACCATCTATAAGCTACAAGTCTTTGTATAGTCAGAAAAGCTGGAAGCTTGATCGTTGGTGAAATCCTCTCAGTTTCTTTCTCCTTCACCCTTTTTGTGGCCTCATGTGCCGTCGTCTTCTCAACGCATGAAACTGTTTTTAAAAAGAACAAGAATTTGCAGTCTCCAAAATATTCTCATTTCTGACACAGAAATGGAAAGTGCTTGAAACTGTTTTCTAGAAATAAATGAGCTGTCACTGATCATGATGAAGATGTCTCAAGTGTACTTTTTCTAAGGTACAAAAAAGTAATAAAAATACTTTATATTTTCAGTGTTAGTCATAGATTCTTTTTGTTCTTTTTCCTCTCCTGTTGTTTTTCTGTTTTGGTTTCAGTGGACCATTTATCAGTTTGCTGAGAATAATCCTTAGGCTAGTTTCCATCTTTCTTTAATAAGTTATTTCTTTTTAAACCCATATAATTTTTTATTAAATCAGAAAAGGTTATTCTTTCTCTGTGTATCTTTTTTACTATTTAATATTCAATGCTTCTGCTTTCTCTGTCTCAAACCTTTCCTTGTTTCCGTCTCATTCTGGCACCACTTTGTTTCCTCCTGTGTGTTTCTATTCTGATATGCTTTTTTTCTTTTTCCCCTATAGATGTTTTTAAGAGATGGGAGTTATTTGCTCTCGAAATGTGTGGTGGATTGTTTGAGAGGGTGTTCAGATGACACTCATTTTTAAGTTATCTTAAACAGGAGTGTGGTTTAACAATCTGGACAGTATAACTTGCTGTCCTGCTCAAAGGGTAATCACAAAATTTGTTTTTCCTTGGAATTATACTATGGTTTGCACTGAATGCCAACACATGTAACATGAACTGTGGTTTTGCAAAAAGTATATGGTCGGGTAAGCAGTGCTGAGATGGGGAGTGAGAGTTGGTTATTTTTTTTACTGTGAACTTCTTGGTGTTAGCACAAGGGTTATGTGCCAGAGATGCACATACTTCGCCTATGGTTATAAAACCCTGTTTACTTTTTTTGTGCAAACACAAAAGCCAAGTGGGAAGGGATATTTCATAAACTCAATGCTATTGTGTCCTCTGGTCTAAGCCATAAAACAAGAGTAACAGAGACGTTCCCTTTGAACTTGAAATCCCTTTCTAAGCTGCTGATCTAACCTAAGTGAGAGGGGGAGACTATACCAGCCAGAAAATTTCTCTTCTAGGTATTTTTCCCTTCCCGCCCCTTTTCTTTTTTTAAAGTCCTTAAGTGAGTTTGATGCTGCACCTCTGCCCATAAATTTAAAAAAATATTATCGTAATGTAGGTCAGTGAACTGAAACGCCACTGTACACCATGGGGGATTAAAGTCAGAGAGGCAGCCCTCTCCCACTCCTACTAGGTCATATGACAATATAAACAAGAAATGCAAGGAGCCTTCAGCTTTTTCTTGCCCTAATCCTTTGTTTATGCAGCACTTAAACTGACTTTTGGGGTCGTCTCTGTCTGGCATTAAAGCCCTAAAGCTTTTTGAAGTTTCCCTGAAGTTAATAAAATTAGTCTGCCCTCGTTGCTAGGCCCCTTGCTGCTGCTTCAGAGCAGACTGCGTATCCCTTACTGTCTTCGTGGTGTTTGGCTTTGTAAGTTCATAATATTTTATACCAAAAAAAAAAAGAGAGAAAATCAGAAAGCTCTCCCAAAAGGCTGTTCAGCTAATAGGCCAAATGATTGGCATTGTAGATGTTCTGAGAACTCAAAAGGGATTAACTTAAAATCCCACGATCGGAGGTAAATTGCTGGTAAAGTAATTGGAAGTGTGGCGTTTCAGTTGGAGAGAGCAACATGCATTTCTCTGGCTTTTTACAAAGCAGGGCTAGACTAAAAAATTAATTTTTTTAAATTTTTCTAACGTAATCTTAAAGTTGAGAAAATCCTTCATAGTAATTCTCTCCAACACTCATTTATTTCAGTGCGAAGACTGATCAAGTTATCTTAGTTCCTGTTACAGCAGGCGTTCTCATATTATTTAGTCTTTGTCAGGGATAAATTGATGATAGGATAACTGGAGGTGATGGACAACATAAGATGGGGTGTACAGTATTCAGTGCATGAGACTGAGACTTTGGGTCATAGAGGTTTTATTCCAAACAGCCACTCAGGCAAGTCACTGATCACTTATTATCTCAGCACCGCTAAAGCAGTTTTGTTTGTAATGGCCTATAGAGATGTCCAAGGAATCGTGATGATACCAGCAGAACATATTGACCACTTAAAGGAGAGTTTTTTGTTTTAATGAGTTGACCATTAAAGTGAAAAGAGCAGTGCAGCTGGAGCCCTTGGTCTGTTTCCTAAACTGAATGTACAATAGCAAGATCCTAAAAAGCACATTTCCTTATAAAAGATAAGGGCTTTTTTTAAATCAAAGGTTTTAAGAGAGTGTGGCATAACTAAATGGTAATAGATTCTGTTGCTGTTCAAATCAGCAATTATAGGTTATCATTACTGTTTTACTCAAAGGTCCGTGATGCCTGTGACACTTGTTCACAGAAATCATTTGAGTTGCTGGTGAGCCTCTTCCTTGCTGGGGAGGCTCTAAACTGAACTGTTCTAGTCCACTATGATTGCTCACCCTGTAATTCCATTTTTAATTAAGTTAAAGATAACTTTGAAGTGCTCTTGGAAAAATAAAAGATCTTTATGTGGCCTTTAAAGTTGGTTTCCTGTGCCATTTTGAGAGATAACTACAAAAATCATAGTTATATGGAAGATCCTCAGTGGAGCATAAGAAACCATCTGTGTTTCAAACACAGCAGAAAGAAGCACATGGCTGGCGGTGGAGAATAGGGATGGAGTTTTGAAATTCTTGTTTTAGGAATAAAAGGTTTATAGGAAGAAGTAATATTTTTATTTCTCCAGCTAATGCAACTGGAAAAAAGGAAGAAGGTTTAGAGAATGTAAGTGCTTCTTCAGGTTGGAATTAACAGCTTCTTTTTATGCTAGTCTTCTGTTTCAGACTGAAAGAAAGGCGAGTGTGCCTGAAAGCTTATCTTCCACCTCTACTGCCACCTATTATCAGGGGCTTTAGTAAAAGACATTATTCAGTTTTAAATTTAAGCCAGAGGTTGCCAAGCAGTGATACTGCCATTAATGGTTCACCAGCTATTTTGAAGCAATAGGAGAGGACAGACATGATAAAAAAAATACGAATGTGGCCTTTTGGGAAAAGATGAGGAGTGGATGTCTGAGCAGAGAATGTTGTTGAGACGTCTGAGTGCTGTTACCTGCAGGTTTGACTGTGCCCAGCTGGGAGCGGAGCTGCCTGTCCTCTTGTCACCTCCACGTGAAAGAAGGAAGAGGCGCTCTGGATATTTCTCATCCTGGATGTGATCTGGGGTAGGGAGAGGTCCTGCCAGTGCTCTGCAATACTGCGCAGCCCTTTCAAGGCTGTTTATAGCTGAGCTAGTAAGCTCTGTTTGAAATAAAACAAAAATTAAATTTCTGATGCTAGGTTTACTACCCTGCTGAGATTGGCATTAAAATAGAGGTGTATATATGTAACAAAATAATAGCAATCATAGGGATTTGAGTCTGTATATGCATTACAGTTTATGGAGGAGGCTTCAGGGAAGGATAGTTGCTTAATAAACCAGCAATACTGTGAGTCACTGTTTAAACTGAATAAAGGGCAACGTTCAAAACTGGTTATAGTTCTTCACTGTTCTAAGTCACTTTGGTCTTTGAACCCCTTAGGTGTAGCTAAAAATGGCTCCTAAGATATGAAGAAGAGTTGCAACTTCTACCACGGAAAATAATCTTGGAAAGATTTAAGTAATATCCCCATATTTCTTCCGATAAATAAATGTTCTTTCCGTGTCTACAAGGTAGAGTAACTCCAGGCTTTAGGTATACAAGGATATTCACACCTACAGGATTAGGCTCACTTGACTGCACCTTATACTTTGTAATGCCTAAGGGAGGGTTGTTTATCTTGCCTTACCCACCAACATTGCTGCCTCTTGTTCCTGATAGCTTAATTAAGAATTCAACTTGGAATGGTTCTTCCCACTGGGTTACAAACCTTGAAATTAAAATTGGATACAATGGTCATAAGGCTTTTAGTTTAACAAATCAATATGTATGTAAAGGTGAATATTTAAAAGGCTCTATTTAGAAACTGTCATTTCTTTGGAAGTGTAGCTGTTGGAGTGCAGGTCTGGAGCTGAGAGAAAGAATGTTCATGCAGGTGATAATGTTCTTAGCAGTGGGATAAGTAATGGAATAAACTTTTTGTGAGCATAGGTACTTAAGTGACTTTCATGGAAAGGTTTCAAAGTAGAAGAAAGATTTTAATTAACTGATCTTTACAGCTTATTTTGTTCTTCCTGTGTTTTGAGAAGAGAGGTAAAAGTAGGAATATGCTACTTTGTACAAGCATCTATGCCTTTATACACAAATTGCCTTAAACTCAGCAGTTTAGATGACTTGTCTAGGGTTTTGTTCATTTGGGGGTAAATGGTTTTTAAAGGGTGGTAGAAGTCACCAAACTCAGAGTGTATCACAAATAATTTCTTGTCACTTTAGATTGTAGACTCATTAATCCCTATTTCTTTCACAGGTGATGGACGACTACAGTGTGATTGGTCGTTCGTTGTTTAAAAAGGAAACAAACATCCAAATTTTTGTGGGTCTGAAAGTGAAACTATCTACAGGAGAAGATGGAATAATAGATGGTGGGTTTGGACAAAGTGGTAAATTTAAAATCCGAATTCCAGGTAGGTGCTTATGAGTTAACAAATACAAATCTATGTTGAGTGTAGATGATCTTTCCATATTGCAAGTCTAAGTGTTACCAGTAGTCTCCTGAAGTTTTGAAATCTGCTCATACACAGTTGGACCACTGATCTGGTGGTACCTCTTCTAATTGAATGATGGTGGCTGTGACTTATATTGTGAGGCTGAATGGCCTGAAGCCACATCTCCTGAGTCAACAAACTCGGGTCTCAGAATGACTTCTCGTTAAGTGGCAGTAACATAGAAATCATGCTGTGCCCAGAAAGGTTTGTGGTAATCTCTCCTCTCTTAATGTATATATGATTTGCACCAGAGCCCTCTGAACAAATAAAGGAAAGCAAACCTGCAATCATTTTTACCTGTAGCTACTTATTAAATATAGTATATTGGATGTGAGTTCCTTAAATTGACTCTGTTCTGCATGTTATTACCTAACTTGCCTCAAGCAAAAACTACTTGATAAATGGCTTTTTGGACATCTTGAGAGGTTTTTTTATTGCTTGTGTCTCCTGGTTTTATGATATGACTGTATTTTTCATCCTTGCTGAATTACAGGAAGGATTTATTCTTCCTTAGGTTAGGGCATGGGAACTGATGGGTGCTAGAGTTTATAAGTGTCATTACTGGGGTTTTTTCCTCCTTCTTTTGAGACAGGAGAGTAGTTCTGAGCCTTTTCAAAAGGCAATAATAGGTGCTGCATTTTACTCAGATTGTGGGATAAGATTTTAATGATACTGGAAGTACTTTTTGTATTTCTGTAGTGTCTTCAGCCTATTTGTCACTAGTTAATTCCCTGCCCTCTTTAGAGAGATGAGTGAGATTACTTCTATTATACAAGTGGAAGAAAAAAGTCCTAATATTCTATGACAGCAAACAATCTCATAGCAATTGATCTACAGAGAAAGGTAAAGTTTCCTGATTCCCTGCTGAAGAGGGACTGTTTTTCCATTTAACTTGGGACATGATGCAACTGCACTAATTTTGACCCTCTGCAAATTTCCTTTCTTTTTCCTATTACAAGATAAGAATTTCTGACCAGACAAAAAAAATCTGTATTCTATCCTAGCTGTAATTCCAGTTTTGTCACCAAATGCTAGACTTTGCAAATAGGTCTGAGACCATAATTAGTCAGCACAGTGCATATTTAAAGAATAATATTTAAAGTAACCCTAACTAGATACATGTATGGTTTTAGTTTTCTAGCATAAAAATGCTTGTAAGGGTTCACTGAGATAGGTACCTTTAGGTAGGTGGTGAAATTATTTGTAAATGGCCTTAATGCTGAAAATCAAGATAACATCTCGCTTAAAAATGTAATGTTCTTCATAGTTTTTCTCTTCTGGCCACAAAAGTTTGATGAAAGAGAACAGGAGGATGGCATTTACATTGCCATTTCCACATTTTGGATGGAGGAAATGGTTCTTCCTGGAACAGGGAGAAGCCTCATAAGTAGTCTTTGACACTATTGAGGATGTAAGCAGGAACTGTAATTATGAACCATCAGTTACATTAAGAAAACTGTATATAGACTTAGAGAATGGCATTTAGCTCTGTAGATTGAGTTTGTGGGAAGAAATGATACCTTTCACAGAGGTGTTCATTATCTAATCTTGGTTACACTCTTCAGATGCTTAACAGGAGACCTTGAAACAGAGGGCCCTTTATAGTTTGTTCTTTCAGTGAGAAGAATATGTACCAGAATGTTAGAATTTAATACCTCTCTAAAGTAGGCAGAATAATACAACTTAGTTTGCTTTGCTTTAGTCTGGGTCAAACTTAGGTACTCTTGTTGTCTGGAAAGAAAAGGCAGTAAGTTAAATTAGCTTAAGCTAAGAGTATCAAGCAGTGGGAAACAAACACAGAATTTGGAAGAGCCTAAAACCCCATGTCTTTAAGAGTTGCAGAGATCTGTGTGTAGGGGGAGGGCTGTTGCTGTGATGCTGTTTAAGTCAACTGCAGTTCACATTCCTTTGTTAGATCAGTGTTGCTTTTTTAATGTGTCTGCATCCTGTTTGTGGGGTTTTGGTGTTTTTGCTTTATTTTTTAAATTTAACTGCTCAGGCTTTTTTCTCCCTTTCCCCCATTCTTCATCCTTGCTTTCCTTCATACATTCTCTTACAGATTTATTTTGTGAAGATCTCTTTTTGATTTTTCTGAAGTTATTTCTCCATGATTCCTTCGCAAATGTATCTGGGAGTTGGGAGGGAAGGAAATGCCCAAGTTGAAAACTGCTTTGTGCTGCCTCAGCCTGGCAGTCAGTCAGTCCTCTCTTTTAAAACCAGTCTTAACCTCTGGAATTGAGTTGCTGGTTTGGGTAGTTAACCTGATGATAGCTGACGCCTGGTTTTAGAAACAAACCTCTGCATAGCAATAAAAATCAAATAGATATATCAGAGCTTTGTGTCCTGACTGCTGAAGGTAATTACAGACCATGGCAGGTTGTAGGGTGTTTCATGATCCCACTGGTGTCAACAGCCTCCAGCACCGTGCCCATTCACGTGAGCAAGTGTTGGGCTCCCCAAGTGTTGTTCCAGACTCACTTGGAAATGACTTGTGTTTGCCTGTAGATCACAGCCTGGGAACGTTGTCTTACGTCGTCTGTGGGCTGAAACTTGGCAGACCACGACTGGGAATGGCAGAACGTGGATCTGTTTCTTATTCTGGCACTGCTTGTGTGCAGCAATAAGTCAGATATTTCTCTCTGCTCGTCTGCTCTGTGAAATGGGGATAATTACTATCCATTCTGGAAAAAAACAAAATAATGTAATCTCTGATTTAGATTTACTCCAGGCTTGGAGCATTAATATTTCTTGAAAAGGCTTAATTATCTTTCTTTAGAGTACAAAAAAACACATCTAGAGTACAGCATGCAATTGGAAGTTCTTTAGTTGCTGAAAGATGTCAGTAGTTTGGAAGAAATTCAGGGAAGAGCAACAAGAATGCTGGAGAGACTGAAGGGATTGATTTATGAGGGAAAGAAGATGAAAAGAAATGCTTGAAGCTTGGCTAAATGTTGTCTAAGTGGGAGATATGATTATCTGCAAGTATTTGAAGAGCATAACGGAGAAGAATCCCTTAGGGTGGTCCAAGGAGGTGGAAGCAAAGCTAATAGCATGAAATAAAGCAAAGTGTAGCTTGAGTATTGAGAGATGTTATTTATCAGAGATTTCTTGCTCTGCCAAATCATCTTTGCACAGGAAGATGATGTATTCCATGTTGAGAACAGTCGTGTGCAGTTTGCCTGGATGTTTGCTAAGTGCTCGTGTCAGGTTAAAACAGACAGGCAGCAGCGTGGTGAGTGGAAGAACCATGTACTTCTTTCATCTCAGTTCTAGTTCTGTGTCCAAGCATGCTTTCATTGCTTGAAGGCCAAGATATAACCTACTTTCTAGAGTGTTTACAGCAGCATCTAGTTTTGTGGGTTTTCTTTAAGTATTTGCTGGCAGACCTGCTATTCTGTAGGACTTGGTTGTGGAGCTGTTCGTGCTTTAACTGAGGACAGAGTTTCAAGGCCTGTTAATTGACAGGATGATGCTTCTTTTCTAGACTTGTTGTTGATCAAATGCATAAAAAGGAGGACATAATCTCTAAATCACAAGAGTTTTACCTAATTTAACAAGCTGCTTAAAAAACAAACAGGATTTGAAAGGCAATTTAAAATACACTGCTTTTAAAGTTGTGCTGGTGTGTGTGTGGATGAGGGAGGGAGCTACTGATGGAGTGCTCTTGGCCGAGGTGGGTGATACGTGGCAGCTGCTTTAGTTGTACATGGAACACTGCATAAGGTAAGCGAGTGAAAAGTATTGTTCAAGAACAAGTTTGGAGAGGCAGGAACTATATGTTTAAGTGTCTTATTCTAAAGAAGATAAAAGCTAACAGTGACAGGATTTGGAAAATGCTTATTTCAACATACCTTGCACCAAGGAATGTCATGCCAGTTGATAAGAAACTCAGAGGAAAGTTCAGTGAATCACTTGAATAACTTAGTGCTCATTGTAGATTTTGTGTAACTGTTTCTCACCCAAGAATTGACCCTGTAAAACTCTGCTTGGTTTGTAAAATCATGATCTGTTGAGGTGTGTCATGACATCTTTTGAAAGATTGACTCTAGATGTGCCTATTTCATTGGTTTGGGCACATTGCATTTGTCTTGTGCTTGATTATTGTAAAATGTGGCAACTTTTTAAATCTGATTGGAGCATATGTGATATGTCAGGCACAGTTCACTTTCCTGTGTCTTTACTGTCTAGTGAAGTGTTCATCCTTTCTGAGGCACTGCAATGTGTTTGACTGCAATTCTCCTCTTCTCTTTTTGACTAAAAATTGTTATACATGACTAGAGTTAAAAGCTACCTTATTTCTTAATGCGAAAGAAGCAGTGCATATCTAACACTTGTAAGAGCTGAACACATTTCTCAATTGAGGAAATTTAAATATAATAAAGGACATACTTTTCATAAGAAGCGATACAAATGAGAATATTGGAAGACAAGCTTTTTGGCTTTGCTGTTCTTTTTACCCATACAGGATAACAGTAGTTTTAAGTTTCTTAGAACAGGCGAAGATGAACTTGTTTGTGACCTTTGTGTCTTTTGTTGCCTGTAGTTTTTTGCCTTGCATTTGTGTGTGTTTCTTGTATATGAGAGGACCAGTGTCTCACTGTTTCCCCTGCTTGTCATGGTAGAGTGATTGAATGTGCCTTAAAAGCCTGTTCTGAAGTAATAGCACGGATGTGCTCCCTAACTCAGGACACAGTGTGCTGTATAAGATGACATAAAGTGGTAAGAATTAAGCAATCAAGCCTTATTCTTGAGAATCCTTCATATTCTTAAGTGTGAAATTAAGGCTGGAAACGCTGAATGTGTGGGGTTTTTCTTGGGGTATTGTGGAAGTGGCACATCCTTGGTGTTTTTATGTTTTGCCACTTTTCATTGGATGAGATCCCACACTGGCTTGCAAATTAGTTAATGACATAGTGGGA